TTTCTCACGCATTAGGGTTCGAACACTCGAACACCTATATATATGTTGGCTTTTTGGCTTTCAAAGGTTATTTTGTAATTATGAGCGTGCCAGCAAGGATCAATCAATCCTTGCAGAATTTTGATTGCCAACCAATTATCAGACGATTGTGTTGTAGTTCTTTCAGCCTCAATGAAGAGGACTTTTACTAGTGGCTTGATTTAAGAGAATTTAAACACAAGAGCAGTTAAATAAAGAGCAATTGAAGCATTTCATTAGTATGAAAAACTTACAATGATCCAAATCCAGCCTCGTAGAGGTTTACAGCGACAATCTATTTGAAACTACTCCTATGAATAAAGTGCAGCGCAGGAATTTAAAGTACAGAAATGTAAAGAACAGGAAATATAAAAACTGGAAAGAAATATGTAAAGTAAGACTAGTTTGTTGGATCTAAGTCTAGCCGTTTTTCTGGGGTCTTCCCTGCTATTTATACTCCTCAAAGATGATCATCAAACTGTACTTCAAACTGTCAAACTGCTCCTCCGTGATCACTGATCATGCTGCCTTATAAGTAGTTCCACTACACCATCACTTGCAGTTAAGCTTCCCTCCTATATTTGAATTTGAATGTGAGTAACTGTTGAAGCAGCGTCACTTTGCATCTCTTTGTTGATCCAATGTTACTCGGACCACGCAATAGACAATATCAACTGTCACGTGTACGATCAGGATCGAAGACTTGAACAGTCTTCCTATATTACCCTTACTCTGCCACGCGTCGAACTGTAATTGGTCTTTTACAAAATATGTAGCCAACAAATTCTAAATTTAAATTTTAGATTCCTAAGAAGTTTCCTAAAGTTTCTCATCATTTATTTATTTATTTAACTATTTCAATAGTTAAATATATATATATATATATATATTTAATTAGTTATATATATATATATATATATATATATTTGAAATAGTTTAAGTAAATAATAAAGTTCTACATGTTTTTATTGTTGACCAACGGTTTCTTATTCAAAAGTTTGAATAATATGTTCAGATGTTCCAACGGTCAAATAGGTTGGGCACCTGTTCATTACCATATTGCACCTTTTCGGGTCCATTGTTGTTGCCTATAAATACTTGGTATTTCCAACAGTCTTGGGTATGAAAAATCAGTCTAAAATTTTGTCTTTTTGCTGTCCAATTTTTCCCTAGTGCATTTATTCTTCATATTTAGTTTTAGAATAAATTAAAGAGAGTATAGATCACAGGTTTGATTCGCCGAACAAATTGTTTGGAGTACTACTACAGTTTGTGAAGATCATTGTATCCTGGGAGATAAACGCCACTCAACCGTAAGTATCGTAGCGGGGCGAATCTGTCTTAAGGATAGAGTGTCACACACTCGACTTGGTCTTAATTTTAATTCGGTTCGATAAATAAATCTGGTATGTTATTTATTTATTTTGTTTGAATTTATTTCAAGTTATTTTATATACATAGAAGATTGTACCAACAAGTGTATTATTGAGTTATTTCTTCTCTCTTTTTAATTTTTTTTAAATTATGTTAAAATTTTAATTTTATAGTCCGTCTTGTCGAGATAAACTTAAAAAAAAAAAAACACTAAAGGCAAAAATAAGTCCAAAAAAAATTATTTATTTTAACTTATTTTTGATTTCTCTAGATTTTTTTTTGAATTTTTTTAAAAAAAACATAATTTTTTTATTTGTCTTGTCAAACTAAATCTAAAAACTTAAAACATTTTAAAAAATTTTAAAAATGGATAAATTATATTTACACCCCCTAAGGTTTAAGTTTAATACATATCATCTTGACGTTTGAAAAATTACACTAATCCTTTGTCATTGTAATTATTTAGACGAAATGATAACACTGAATTCACGCACTCTCTATTTTCTTACTTTGCTTTACTTCTTCTATTTTTTTTCTTTTAATTTTGCTTTACTTTTTTTTTTTAATATAATTTTTTCTATTTTTTATTAAGAGTTATTATTTTTTATATAAATTTATACTCACATTCCATTAGTCTAACTAATCAGCAGAAATAATGCATCACGCATCAAACACATGAATTCAAATTGTCACTAATAAAAAATTCAGCGGTGCTAGAGGCCTCGAATTTGCCTCAACAACATTATTTATTTTTTTATTTTTTTATATTTTATTTTATCTTATTTTGGTGGTGGCTGTGTTAGTAGTTTTTTTTTTTTTATTTGGTTTTTTTTTAAGGGTGGTTTATGTGTAAGAATGTGTCAAAAAATTAAACATTTCACACCAACTCATCGTATAAAATTATATGAAATTAACAAAATTTAACCAACAGTCTAACTGATTAGTTAATTTTATCACTTAACCAGTCCAACTTAATTGACTGATCAGTTAAGCTGCTAGTTAAATTTTGTTAATTTCATATAATTTTGTACGATAAGTTGGTGCGGAATGTTTAGTTTTTTGGCACACCCCTACACATAACCACCTTTAAAAAAAAATATCAAACCAACATAGCCCAACAAATAAAATAAAATAAAATTAAATTAAAAAAATAACATAACCCAACAAATAGAAAAAAAAAAAAAAAAAAACTCAGCCTATCTAGTTTGATAAGGTGAGTGAGTGGAGTTAGACTTTATAAACATATAGACTGAGTTAGTACAAGATGTCTAATACATATAACCACCCTTATAAAAAAAAATAAATAAATAAAAAAAACCAAAGGGATATTTTTTTTAAGGTCCCTGATATTATGATTTTATAGTACAAAGGACATCAAATATTTTCATGATGTCTAAGGTCCCTTAACAGGATCCAGAGAAATTTCAGTCCTAGAGAAATTCTCTCCAGAGAAAATTGAAATCCAGAGAAATTTCAGTTCTAGAGAAATTCTCTCCAGAGGAAATTGAAATTTCTCAGAGTACCAAATAAATCCAGAGAAAATTGTGGAAAGGAAATTTGTATGGCTATCTAGGAAATTTCTTTGACTTCGCAAATTTCTCTGGCTCTATTAACTACAATTAAACCCATGTCTGACAAACCCACAAACCCACAAATTTCTCTGGTCCAAAACTAGAGAAATTCTCTTCAAACCAGACAAAACAGAGAAACTCTTTGGATTGAAACCAGAGAAATTCTTTCTATTTACAGTAAAGTTGTATTTTTATGAGCAGAACTTGGTGATTGTACATTGATCTAGGAAATTTCTCTAACTTCACAAACCAGAGAAATTCTCATCTCCAATCCAAAGAAATTCACTTAACCCAGATAAATTCTCTCTCTCCAACCCAAACCAGAGAAATTCTTCCTCTCCAATCCAGAGAAATTCCAATTTCTGTGATTGGGATACCAGAGATGGAGGCAAAGTTCTCTGCTTTAACATCATGGGCAACTTTGTATACATCAAGAAGATAAATAACTAACAAAAAACCTCAATTCAATTCAATGGGATTCTTAAATAAGAACCAACCATATATGTACTAACTAACAAAAAGCAATTTCTCATTTTCTTTCTGATTTTTCATTTCATTTATTTTCTTTCCCCTACCCTTCATGCTTTGTTTGGAGAATAGATTTACGTAGGGATTTGTTGATGGAAAAAGTGAAGGAAAAAAAAAATTCTACTTCATTCACTTTTCCATTCATTTTTCTTCTCTCTCCTCAAATCCTTTCACTAATCCAAAGTTCCAAACACAAACACCTCATTTCTTCGAGAATAGGCAAAATATGTCTTCTATTATCTTGGTAGCTGAAAAAGAAAATGCTGGAAAGGAATTTAAATTGGAGTACCAAAAATTCACAAAACTGTTCGAACCACAGAAACATGCAGTTTTTCCCAGTTCATGTTGATTTGTCTTTTGGATCCTCCTCTCCAATCAGATCGTCGTAAGTAACAGGTACCATCATTCTATCATGAACAGATGTCCGTTTCCTCTCAGCATCGGACTGCTCAAGTTGGTTTTGCACATAAGCTTTCGGCCCTCACGTCCGCCGCGAAGAACCTCGGCAGCACCGCGCGAGAGACGAGCTCGATGTCGCGGATCTTCAGTCCGGCGTAGGAGATGAAGATGAACGCCTAGATCGCGGGGGCTTCGGAGACGAAGATGTATGCGATTGCGATGAGAGGGAAGGAGAGGAGGAGAACGAGGCCGGGAATCTCCACTGGGTAAAGCTTTGGGAAGTGTTGGAAGATGAGGAGAACTGAGAGTCGGGTTGTTGGGGGTGGCGGTGGGTCAGATGATGAAGATAGTATAAAGGACTGAAATTTCTCTGATGTATGTTTAGGGACCTTAGACATCAAAAAATAATTTTGTGGATCTCTTCCATTACGAAAAGTAGGAGAGGGACCCTAAACCAATTTTCCCAAAACCAAACACACAGGGAAATAAAAAAAAGAAAGAAAGAATTTCGAGGCAATTTAGAGGCCTCAAATTCGAGGCCTCAAGCATTAATAAAAAAAAAAAATACACTACAAGAAAAAAAAAAAAAATAATAATAATAATAATAATAATTGTACTTCCCAAAACTCCCCTAAATTCCCAAATCGGTTGGTTCGTCATAGGTACCCGCCCCATGTTTTGACAAACAGCGGGTCTTGTATTTTACTTCACTCTCTCTCTCTCTCTCTCTCCCCTCCGGCGCGGCGACTCTCTCCGTCGTCTCTGACCACGGTTCCGGCTAGGTGAGTCTCTGTCTGGTTCTCTCGTTGTCTCTTTCATAGTAATTGTTTCTCTGAGATGGGTGTGTTGGAGCTATGGGTAATCTTCACTTTCCTTCTTGTGTTCTCTTCACGAGTTCATTTGAATTCCCTAAACCTCACATGCAATTTGAACGATCTCAAGGCCCTAGAATGAATGATTGGAAAACTAAACTGGTTATTGTATGTATGAATCGATGCTTCAATTATAGAATTAATATTTTCTTTGACTCTTGATTGGGTTCATCCAAGTTTAGTTGTAGCTATTGATTCTGTTTCTCTGATTTTTTATTTTTTATTTCAAAACCAGAAGCACAATTTTTTGTTCGACACGGCAGATTCTAAAAATCTAGTCCAAGAATTGTTTTTATTTTCCAAACAAACCACAATTTTATTTGATGAGGTTTGATTGGTTATGATTATATGTGATGGTTCTGTGGTGATTTTAAATCAAACAGGCTGCTGATTTTTATTCAAAACTTCTTCTTTTTCCCCCCCACAATTTGAATAGTGCTGCCAAATAAAGTTGGGAACTTTCTTCATAATTTGAATTCCCGAATTAAAACTATAAACTTAAGTAGTTTCTTTAATGCAGCTATAGCATGTGCTTGGAGATGCAATTCATGTTCCATGGCAAGCCGCATTCAGGTTCATTTGTTCATGGCAGCTCGCCACTCTTCCCTGGTTGTCTGAAATATCTCAATTGTCAAAAAAAATTCCAGATATTTAATTGTTCATATCATCCCCTGCAATGCAATAGAGTCATAGATTTTGATGTTAATGCAATTGGGAGTAGTTCAAATACCATCAAGAGCTCAATTTCACACCCATGTGGTTCCGAAACTAGAGAGGAACTTTCCCGCGAGGGATACAACAATCTTATATGTGAGCTGTGCAGAGTGGGGGATGCTGATGAGGCTATGGCATTGCTTGCCCAAATGGAGGCTCTGGGCTTTCGTCCAAATGCAGTATCTTACACTTTCTTGATTACAGCTCTTGGAAATGTTGGCAGGACTTTGGAGGCTGATGCAATTTTCCAAGATATGATACGTTTAGGGTTTAAGCCTGGGCGAAAGGTGTACAATGTCTTGCTCAGAGGCTTCTTGAAGAAAGGCCTCTTAAGGCTTGCAGATAAGGTTCTAGTGGCAATAGATGATTTGGGTATTAGGAGGAATCAGGAAACATATGAGATCCTTCTAGATTATTATGTCCATGCTGGGCGCCTGCCAGATACCTGGTCAGTTATTGGTGAGATGAAACAAGAGGGGTTACAACTAAATTCATTTGTGTATAGCAAGGTTATTGGACTTTACAGGGACAATGGGATGTGGAAGAAAGCAATGGGCATTGTGAGAGAAATAAAGGAGACGGGGGTGCCACTGGACAAGAGGATTTACAATAGCATCATCAATACATTTGGGAAATATGGCGAGTTAGGAGAAGCCTTAGAAGTGTTTGAGAAAATGCAACAAGAAGGCATAAAACCTGACATCACAACATGGAATTCGTTGATCAAGTGGCATTGCAAGTTTGGGGATGTTGCTAATGCTCTTGAGTTGTTTGCAAAGATGCTAGAACAAGGGGTATATCCTGATCCAAAGATCTTCATTACCATCATTAGTCGTTTGGGGGAGCAGGGAAATTGGGATATGATGAAGAAGAACTTTGAGAATATGAAATGTAGAGGGCATAAAAAAAGTGGAGTCATTTATGCTGTTTTGGTTGATATTTATGGTCAGTATGGAAGATTTTTGGATGCAGAAGAATGCATAAATGCTTTAAAGTTGGAAGGCATTCAGCTTTCAGCTAGTGTCTTTTCTGTGCTGGCAAATGCTTATGCCCAACAGGTGTGTTCCCCTTTCATTGGCATACTAAATTTCTAGGGTAAATATATGATTCCTAAACATAATTTTCTTATAGTTCTTCATACATTTTGTTTGTACTTAATATAATTTATATTTTCTTCATACTTGGCTTGGCAGTTGGATGGCACTATATAATTTATCATATGATTGAAACCTAGTGGTAGAGAGAAAATGTTGAAAAATTTCGGTAATGGGAAGTGGATAGTGAGTTCAAGATGTAAAATTTGCCATTAATTTGCAAAAGCCAGAATTGAGCACATCCCATGTTGCTTGTAATTTCATGGTTGAACACCTTTTCTTTTTGTTTCATTGAAGAAACTGAATGCGGTGAAGTAAATGATATCATGACATGGAGAAAACTCACGGTTTTATACATTTATTTAGAACTGAATCAAACTCTAGCAAGTAGCAACATAAGTGTTTTGGATATCTTGGAACTTGGGAAGTGTGCTTTGTTTGAAAGATGCTTTTGAAGCAGGAATTAAACTGTTTGGGAAAGACAACTTGGAAGCTCAATTGGGTGATTTCATTTTGTTTATATGGTTTGTGTTAGAATAGAAAATAGTATTACTTATATTTTATTCTTATTTGATTTTATTTTCCCTTGATTGATGTTGATTGGTGTAATGGGTTGGCCCATAATTTATGCCTTATGGCACTCCTGTAATTATTCATTATTATCAATATAAAAGGAGATGAGATCTAACTCATTCTCTATATGTTTATCTTCTTTAAACTTACATGGTATCAGAGTGATCAATAGTGGTAGGAGGAAGTATAGCAAAGCGGCGACTTTCCTCATTCTGCACAAAAGCAAAGGCTTCTTGGAGAGATGGAAGCACATCCATGCCGAGTACTCTACTCTGAACAGGATTATACTCCACATTTACACCCTCTAAGAACTTGAAGACCCGCTCTTTCTCCACAAACTTCTGGTGACCAGTAGAATCAGTGGGACACACAAGCTTGTAATTCTAAAGGTGATGAAGTCGCTTCCACCCATTGCTAAGGAAAGCAAAATACTGGAGGATAGTCATCTCACCTTGTACTGACCTCTCAATGGAGCGATGTAACTCAAAAGCCGATGAGAAGTTCCCTTTCCTGGAGTAAGTAGTCGTTATGACCTCCCAAATATCTTGGACAATGTCCGTAGACAAATAGCCCTCTCCAATCTCCGGAACCATAGAATGGATCAACCAGCCCATAATCAGAGAATTGGTGATCTCCCACTGGTTATAATGAGGGTCTATGATACTGGGTATCTGGATCCTCCCATCAACAAATTCCATCTTCCCTCTGCTCTTCAAGAAAATAGTCAGACTCTGCGACTACTCTAGGTAATTTTGACCATTGAATAGGGAAGTGGTGATTTTAAAGCCAGTGTTGAAGTTATTAGTTATAGTGGAAGGGATAACAGAACTCTCGCCCTGAGGTAGTTGAGAGATAGTAAATTTACTAGTCAAATCTGATATAGACACTCTACTAACTATTCCTCAAACACGATGTCAATCACAAACCCGGAAGATGAGAATAAGCACAACAGTAACTATAAAAGCATAATCAAATAATCTGCAGTGAGAACCACTTTCCCCTAATAGGATCGTGGGACACGCATTTCAAAGGATAGACAACGGGTCACATCAAGAAGGTGGCGATTTTTCTGTTCTGCAACACCATTTTTTTGAGGAGTATTACTGCAAGAAGTTTGGTGAATAATGCCATGAGTTGCAAAATAACTAGCAAGACCAGAGTCAAGATATTCTCCCCTCTTATCAGAATGCAAAATTTTGACAACCGTCCTAAACTGAGTGCAAACCATGCTGTGGAAGTTTTGAAATACAAAAAACACTTCACTCTTGTCTTTCATCAGATATACCCAAGTGGTCCTAGAACAATCATCGATGAAAGTGACAAACCATTTTTGACCCTTTAAAGACACAAAACGGGAGGGACCCCACATATCAGAATGAATCAAAGAAAAAGGAACTGAATTTTTATTAATAGAAGGAGCAAAAGAAGCTCTGTATTGTTTTTCAAGTTGACAAGACTCATATTGAAAATCAGACACATTATTTTTCTCAAAAACAAAAGGAAATAAATACTCAAGTAGTAAAAAGGAGGGATGTCCTAAGCGACGGTGTCAAAACCAAAGGTCTTCTTTAGAGGATGGTAACTGAAGAGATGAATGAGCCAACTTGTCTGTCTAATCCAGAATGTAGAGACCATGTTCTTCTCTACCACGGCCAATCCTCTCCCTCGTGATAAGGTCCTGAAAAAGACAATAATCAGGAAAAAACGTCACGCTACAATTTAAATCACGAGTAATACGACTCAAAGATAAAAGGTTAACACTAAAATTGGGAACATGGAGTACAGAGAATAAAGGAAGGGAAGAAGTAGCATGAATTAAACATTTCCCTGACACAGACGGTCAACTTCTGGATATTGCACATTTGTTGGAGGCAATCTAGTCACGTGACGAAGTAAGAAACATAATGTGGTTGCTAGATCTAGTGCTGAGGCAGAATTCAGGACTATGGCACAGGGCGTATGTGAGTTGCTATGGATTAGATTATTGTTGGGAGACTTAGGGATATATCAGACTGATTCCATGAGATTATACTGTGACAACAAGGCCACAATCAACACAGCTCATAATTTAGTTCAACATGACAGAACCAAGCATGTGGAGATTGATAGGCACTTCATCAAGGAAAAGCTCACTAGTGGCACCATATGTACTCCATTTGTGAAGACTAGGAGTCAACTAGCAGATGCTCTCACTAAGGGAATAGGGAGCAAACCATTTCATGGCATTTTCAACAAGTTAGGCATGAGAGATATCTTCGCATCAGTTTGAGGGGAAGTGTTAGAATAGGAAATAGTATTACTTATTTTTTATTCTTATTTGATTTTATTTTTCCTTGATTGATGTTGATTGGTATAATGGGTTGGCCCATAATTTATGCCTTATGGCACTCCTGTAATTACTTATTATTATCAATATAAAAGGGGATGAGGTCTAACTCATTTCCTATCTCTTTCTCTTCTCTAAACTTATAGTTTGAACCTCATCCTACACTTTCTATATCTACTTTTTGCTTTTTGAAAGTTAAGAATTATATTTATCTTACATTCAATACCCTAAAATTATGCTTATGTCCTTTGTTGAGGACTAGTAATTATCATAAAGAAAGGAACAAAAAACATTAAGGCCTGGTTTGGGGTGTTTCAAAAAAGCCAAAAAAGTTACAAAAAAAACAAAAAAGTTATCACTATTCACAAATTAAAAATATTAAAAAATTAATATACATAATATTTTAATCAAACAAACTTTACACAATTTTCGGGGCTGAATTGACCCTTTAGTACCGTGAGAGGGGAAAAAAAAAGAATTACATATATAAAATCACTAAGTTGGACGGAAATGTTGGGCCCATGGGGGCCACCACGGGTCCCGTTTTGATAATCCGAACCGTTCAATATGTAGAACTCGTCCAGAACTATATGCCTATAAAAAATTACGTTAATCGGAAATCGCTAACTACATGATCAAATCAGTTTTGTATAAAAAATGGATGGTGTTATAGTTAACAGTTGACAAGAAAAAATAACACGATCAGATAGCTATTGATATCCAAGCAACGTGATTTTTTATAAGCATATAATACTCGACGAGTTCTACAAATTGACGGTTCTGATTAGCAAAACGGGACCTGTGATGAGCCCCAACAGGCCGAACAACACAGTCCAATTCAAACCCGAAAAGTAGGCAATCATTTCCCATCTCATACCAACCCACTAGCTTGCCCAATATATACGGCCGAATCCACTAACTTCTCTTACACACTTATTTATACAATTTTTTAATACACATTTTTTTGTAAAAAGTCAAAAAGTTAACCAAAACATCCATCTTTTTTTCCTCAACTTTTTAGTCTAAAAGGACAAAAAGTACATTTATTTAGGACACCCCAAACAACCCCTAAAATAAATAGAATCCTCAGAATTTTTGGCACAATCATCTGTACGAGTTGTTTGGATTGTTTTGACCTTGCGTACTGTCATGAACCGAACCCACTCCCATGGGTTAAAGACATAACCGGCTAGTAATCCTGAGATTATCTACAGCCTCAAACCAAACCAGACATAACTCATTAGAGTAAAGGGGCCAAACGGAAGCAAAATTTAAAATTTTGTCCATAGAGTTGTGCTTACATGGCACATCATAACAAACCATGCATATACATATTAATAACTCACATCAGAAAATACAGTAACGCAAAGTTCTGTACAGACAAGATCATTCAAGTCTAGGTCAGCCAATCAAAACTATATACAACGTATCCAAAGTCCTCGCCAACATGACAAAATAAAATAAGATAGCAAAAGGGCAAAGACAAGTCTCGTGCGTGAGACGCAAGAGCTGACTCTTCAAAACCTTGGTTGTTCCACGCAAACTTCACTGAGGTTGGGTTTGGACCTCTCTTGGCTCACCTGCAAAAACATGAATGAGCGTGAGCGAAAGCCCAGTGAATAATATCAATAAAGGAGATACATTGGAATAATATACATCAGACGGCCTTGGGCCCAATTCATATTTCTATCTAATACATACATATATATATATATATAGATCAAGTAACTGCGATTTCGAACACATCAGACGGCCTCGGGCACAATCTGTTCATGTCGAACTGGCCTTTGGCCCATTCATACTTTCATACCAAACTGGCCTTTGGCCCATTCATACTTTCATTCATGTCAGACTGGCCTCTGGCCCATTCATTCTATCATTCATGTCAGACTAGCCTCTAGCCCATTCATTTGGCCTAACAAACATTATCCACCATTCAAATTAACGAACTTATAAGACTTACATAGAAGTAAGCAATTGAACAAACAAAACATTTCAGATAGCTTTATTAAGATATTACTCATAGTGATCGGCTGGATGATTTGACTTAGAAAATATGAGGAAGAAGAACTCCGAAAATATGAGGAAGAAGGAATATATTTCTGTTATATTCAAAATTTCTTATCTTACAAGACCAAATGACACTCCTTATATAGGAGATATTACAAACATCATTATAACCCATTATATGCCACTTACATATTATATATTACCACTATCTACCACTATCATATTATATACATTGCCACCAACACCACTATCATATTCTATACATGCCACTATCTACCATCAACACCACTATCAGATTATATACATGCCACTATCTACCACCAACACCACTATCATATTATATACATGCCACTATCTTATTATATACATTAACACAAATTTCCAGCAATTTGCCCTGGAGCTTGACCCTACACATTACATAACACATATGGGTCACAAATGATTCAATCCGTTCTTAATTCACATATTCCTCTTCAGACTTTATTCTTACCCTTTTAACTCATTTACAATGCTCAATGCGTGCCTAAGAGTGCTTAGAAGTGAAAGAGGACGGAAAACGAAACATAGAACGCATTTACAAAATTTCAGAAATAGGGGTCCCTGCTCGAGCGGACCGAATATGTCTGCAAAAGTACTGGCTGCCTCGTTTTTACGCTCGAGCGTGAACTTGAACGCTCGAGCTATAGGTCATCCTACATAGCTCCCCGCTTGAGCGTGAACTTCCCCGCTCAAACGGACATCCATGCCTGCAAAAATACTGGGAGTCCGTATTTTACGCTCGAGCGGCGGTTCTCCCGTTTGAGCGGACGTCAAGAAATCTGGGTTTTCCAGAACTGATCTTGAGCTCAAATTCAACATTCAAATCAACATATCTTGTATATTATCGCTCAAATTTCACATATACATATACTAACATGGTACAAACACCAAATCTATGAAGCATGGACATTCCGAAAATGGTGCCGTGGCAGTGTCCTACACGCGGACACACCGGGGACACGTACGGGACACGCCCGGGACACGCCAGATGGCGTGTCCCTTTAATTTAATGATTTTTTTGGAAGGGGACACGGCAGGGACACGGCGGAGACACGCGTGTCCATATCTGGACACGGCGGGGCTATTTTTTAAATTTTTTATATTTATTTGGGGTCAAAGTATAATATTTAAAAAGTTAAAAAAAAAAAAAACCAACGGGCAAAGCCCTAATCGAACCACTGAGGGATTAAATGAGTAAAATCAGACCTGCGAAGCCCTCCTCTCTCTCAGTCGAAGCCCTCTGAAGTCGATCGAAGATCTCTCTCTCAGTCGCAGCCCTCCGAAGTCGATCGTAGACCTCCAATCCAGTCGCCTCAGTCTCTGTTTCAGTCGATCCAGTCGTCTTCGACCTTCGATCCAGTCGTCTTCAAAGGTAAGCCCTCTTTCGCCTTTGTCTCTCTCTTTCGCGCTCTCTCTCTCTCTCTCTGCTTTGCTTTCGGTTCGACTGAGACTGAGACTGAGACTAATTTTTATTTTTATTTTTATTTTTATTATACGTTTATATATAATTATATGTGAGACTTCTTTTATTTTTATTTTTATTTTTATTTGTTTATACGTTTATATATATATAAGACTTTTTTTTTTTTTTTTTGTAATTATATGTTTATATATATGTATATATATAAAGCTGTATTTAAAAAATAATAATTATAGGTTTATATATATATATACAGTATGTAAACTCTGTTTTTTATTTTTTATTTTTTATCCTTCTAATGTTAATTTTAATTTATAGGAAAAATGTCTAGTTCAAATTCTGCCAATAACACACAATCTGCCTTTGATGCTGAAGATGATAAGCCACTGTGGAAATATGTGACTAGATTAGAAAAATTTGGTGCAAGATGGGGGAATTATACTTTTCAATGTAACTTTTGTCGGGTTACACGTAAAGGTTCATACACTAGGGTAAAAGTCCATTTGATGCAAATTAAAAATCAGGGGATAGAAGTGTGTCCAAAAGCAACAAGTAAGGATAAAGCTAATTTTGAGAGAGTAATTGCAGAAGCAGAGTTGAAATTGAAAAACTCTAGGTTGAAGAAAGTCCCATTGCCTCCTCCTAGTTCAAGTGCATCATTAGGTTTATGTTTTAATGAACCAGAGGAGATGTATGGATCAAAAAGGAAGAGGTCAACTGCTATTGGGAGTGGAAGTAGTAGTAACCCTGTTCTGAAAGCATTTAACATTGGGGCTCGAGAAAGACTAAATAGTGAGATAGCTAGAATGTTTTATTTAGCAGGCTTGCCATTTCATTTGGCAAGAAATCCTTACTATGTTAGTGCATTTACTTTTGCTGCAAATAACAACATACAAGGATATGTACCACCTGGGTATAATATGTTGAGAACTACATTGCTTCAAAAAGAAAGGATAAACATTGATAGGTTGTTAGACCTTATTCGAGGCACATGGAGAGAGAAGGGTGTGCGTATAGTCAGTGATGGATGGAGTGATTCCCAACGGAGGCCATTAATAAATTTTATGGTTGTTACCGGAGGTGGGCCTATGTTTCTTAAAGCAATTGATTGTTCAGGGGAAACAAAAGACAAGTATTTTATTTCCAACTTGATGAAGGAAGTAATTATGGAGGTTGGGCCTAAAAATGTGGTTCAAGTAATTACAGATAATGTTGCAAATTGCAAGGCAGCGGGGCATCTAATTGAAGCACAATTTCCTCACATCTTTTGGACTCCTTGTGTTGTGCACACCCTCAATCTTGCCTTGAAGAATATTTGTGCTGCCAAGAATGTGGGAAATAATTCAGTTGCATTGGAAGAGTGTAATTAGATTAGTGAGATTGTGGGTGATGTGATGATGATCAAGAATTTTATTTGTAATCATTCCATGAGGTTGGCAATGTACAATGAGTTTGTGAGTTTGAAGCTTCTTTCAGTTGTCGAAACACGCTTTGCTTCTTCCATTGTCATGCTTAAGAGGGTCAAGTTGATAAAGCAAGGTTTCCAAACAATGGTAATCAGTGACAAATGGAGTTGTTATAGGGATGATGATATTGGTAAGGCCAAGTTTGTGAAGGATAAGTTGTTGGATGACTTTTGGTGGGATCAAGTCAACTACATATTTTCCTTTACTACTCTTATTTATGACATGATTAGAGTTTGTAACACCGATAGACCTTCTCTTCACTTAGTATATGACATGTGGGATACAATGATAGAAAAAGTGAATATGGTGATATATAAGCATGAAGGAAAGCGACTAGAAGACGAGTCTACATTCTATAATGTAGTACATCAGATTCTTGTAGACCGGTGGAACAAGAACAACACACCACTTCATTGCTTGGCACACTCATTGAATCCAAGGTAATTACAACACAATTTACTATTTTTATTAATTTAAGTTTAATATTATTCTTTCATATTTATAATGAGTAGTATTTTTTTTTCATTTTAGGTATTATAGTGATGTGTGGCTTCATGAGGATCCAAGCCGAATTCCCCCACATAGGGATGAGGAGGTTTGTCTTGAGAGAAAAAAGTGCTTGAAAAGGTTCTTTGATGATCCAATGGAGCGCACTAAAGCAAATTTGGAGTATGCTAAGTTCTCAACAAAAGAGGGGCCATTTGCTGACATTGATTCCATTGGAAATAGATGTGATATGGATCCTCATAGTTGGTGGGTTGTTTATGGTGCATCTGCACCCACTCTTCAATCTTTGGCTTTAAGGCTACTTGTGCAACCTTCTTCTTCATCATGTGTTGAGAGGAATTGGAGTATATACTCTTTTATCCATTCAATGAGAAGAAAAAAGATGACACCCCAACGTGCAGAGGACTTGGTTTTTGTTCATAGCAACCTCCGTCTTTTATCAAGGAGAACCCCACAATACCTTGAAGGAGAGACCAAGTTATGGGATATTGCGGGCGACACATTTGATTCATTTGATGATGTTGGGATGCTTGAGGTTGCAAATCTATCACTTGATGAACCTGAGATGGAGGTTGTGTTGTTTACAGATGATGGAGGTGCAAACGAAGAAAAAGGTGGTGATGCTAATGATGATGAAGATGTGCAAGAAATTGGATCTACTTGAAGTTTTGAAAGGCCTACTTCTTTTCTTTTCTTTTCTTTTCTTTTTCCTTCTTCTTTGCCTCTTATTTAGTGCTTTTGTGAAGAATATTGATGGATGTTGGATGTTGGATGTTTTCCCCTTATATTTAGGGTTGGTTTGGGATGTCCTAAAAAAGTGCACTTTTTGACTTATTGGTGGGTTTGGGTTGGGTTTGATGTGATGTGTTAGAGAGGTGATGTGATTTAAATAAGATGATGTGACTTAAATAAGATAGTGACTTTTTGACTTTTTGGCTTATTTAGTACATGCCAAACTAGCCCTTATTGTTGGATGTTGGATGTTGAATCTTTTGCCTCTCTTATATTTATTGAATTAATGGTATTATGTTATTGTTTGTTAATTTTGATTTAGAATGAATGTAATACGAATCTACATAACACATAAAAATATATATATAAAAAAAAAAAAAAAATTCGCCGTGTCCCCCGCCGTGTCTGTGTCCCCATATTTTGGAAATTGCCGTGTCCCGTGTCCGTATCCGTATCCGTGTCCGTGTCCGTGTCCGTGTCCGTGCTTCATAGCACCAAATTACAACATTATGAAGCTCAATTCCATGAATTACTTACATGCATGTTCCAAATTGCACAAACTTGTTTCCATCATAACAATTCCATGAATTTCAAACCCATCTTCTTATGGATGGTACATGCATGTGAAACACAACTTCTATTCTCAACTTAGATGATGAAGAGATGGTCAAAATATGAGCTTCAACTAAAATCTCACATGGTTTGTACATTTTGTGCTCAAACATGCAATTTCAAAGCAATTTCTCACATACATGTGCATATTGACTTCCAATTCAACAAAACCAACTCAATTCCATCACTTATAACACAATTCTTGCTCTTAATCATCAATCAACTTTAAATTCACAAGATTACAACATTAAACTCCTGAATTTACTTACCTAGAGGCTCAAATCTTTCAAATTATAGTTAGCTTTTGAGTGTGGCTTCAAGATTACCAAGTTCCCTAGCCAATTCTCTTCCTTGAGCTTCCTTTCTCACTAATTTTGGCTCCCCTCTCTCTCTAGAGCATAATTTCAGATGTTAGAGCATAATTTTAGATGTTGAGCTCAAAAAAAAACAAAGTGAGGGTGTATAATGGCCCTTTAAAAGCTCCCTCTCAAATACAATTATTTAATATTAAATAATTGGGCACCATTTCATTAATTTAATCTATTTAATTTGATCCGAATCAATTTCCAATTAAATTTCACCGTAGGCTCTAAAAATTATGTCAATCACAATGGCGTAGTCAATTTCGGGTTTTGTGGCCGATAAGACCTTCAATTTAAATTCCAAAACAGATAATCAAACAGATATTCCTATGATGAACAGATAGAAATTCAAAACCACATATTTTCACATAAATGGCACACAAAATCATATTAGACACATAATCATATTCATAATAAGGACCAATTAGCATAATATGGAACATGGTTATCACACGTACAGTGCTCAATTATTTAAATCTTGCTTACTTTGTGTGAAGTAATGCATGATAATATAATCAAGAATATTTTTGCAAGTTATTTATTGCTTTATGCCTACTTGTTCAAAACACACTTAATTATTTGATTTTTTGTGCAGGGATTATGTGAACAGACTGTAAAGGTTCTTCAACTCATGGAAGTAGAAGGAATTGAACCAAACCTTGTAATGCTGAATGTATTAATCAATGCATTTGGTATTTCTGGAAGGCTTTCGGAGGCATTATCTGTTTATCACAGTATAAAAGAAAGTGTAGGACCTCATATTTCTTGATCTATTTACTTCTAAAATACACTGCTAGATTGTTTGTTACTGACAATAGTCTTGTTGTTCTGAAGGGTGTTAGTCCTGATGTGGTTACCTATAGCACACTTATGAAGGCATTTATGAGAGCAAAGAAGTTTGACCAGGTCTGCTATATCTTAGTCTTGATCTAATAATCATATCTTGGTGAAAATTTTACTAGCACATTCTTTCCAAGTTACACGCATCATTTCTTCCATTTTAATTTCATTCTGCTTGGATTTTCAGGAAGATTTAAAAGAAATGAAAATTTGAAATTTATTGCATGTTCAAGAGTGTCTAGTTTTATGCAACTCTCGCCAATGAAATGTTGCCTAACCCTTGGAATTTATTTCTGCGTTGGTCCTTGCTTTGTGTCTAGGAGACTGATCCTTAAATCCCCAAATTATAGGACAGAATGACATGGATGAATTATTGAATTCTTCAATTTATCATCCTTTATATTTTAGGGCATACTAAATTGTGAATGGAAAATATCCAACATGGCTTTTTTGCTAGTATTGAATTATACTTGCAACAAATAGTGACCTGAGAAAGCAAATGGGCTAAATAATACTGAACAAAGAGTATGTTCCTTATCCCCAGTTGGACATGCCTTTGTGTGCATATTCAATTTGTGTGTGGGACACACATGTAGTGGTTGTGTTGTGTTGTGTTCAAGATGGGTACTTCATTTATTTTAAAGTGCAAGTGTAAAGTAAAATTTAGATCCCAATTTTATGAGAGAAATTAGAGTTCCAATTGAAGAATTGTATTTCCTTTCTACAGCTTTTTAACCAATTCATTTAACTGGTTTTCTGACCAGATCCCTGTAATATACAAGGAGATGGAATCTGCTGGATGTACACCGGATAGGAGGGCTAGAGAAATGCTGCAAAATGCGTTAATGGTCCTTGAACAGAGACACTTATAGTGTTACATTTGATCTCCAGCTCCTTTGCCTCTGCCTGTAACAGACTGTATATATAATCATACTCCAGAGTACTTCTAATACTCGTAATCACCACGATTTCTGGGATTCCAATCATATTGCTGAAGCAGGTAAGGATTTATTTTCGACCATGTGATATTTGGATATCTCATTACATGTTCTGCTTTTGATACGTAAGTGCCCATTTCATTTTAATTCACTCTGAATTCTCACTCAGTATTGTCTTTGTACTCCCATGTTTCTCGTTGTGCTCATGTTTGAAAAGTTTGCCTACTATTATTCTGAAATGGCTGCTGTGCCTTGCCTCACACTTAGTGCAGAGGCTTTGACCCTCTTGATTGGGGGTGTTTGGGATGAGAAGTTTGGGCTAAAATAGCCAATAAAGACAAAAAAATGTTAAAATAACCAACAAGACAAAATGTCACATCCTACACATCAATCAATCACTTTTTTTGTCACAACCGTATATTCAATTACAAAAAAATCCACAAATCATCCCAAACACTACTTTTTTTCATCTCATAAAATAGCTAAAAAGCCAACTAAAATAGCCAAGGTCCCAAACGGGGCCGATATATTTCTCAAAATTGAAGGCTTAAGAGGACCAAAAGTACTGCAATGAATTTTTTTTTTTTTGGAAAGTGAATACTAAACTAAAAACATTATCCAGAATGTTGTTGATGTGCATCTTTCCTAATTACTAATGGAGTTTGGGGCCTTGAATGCTAATGTCATGGTATTGCACATTTCTCTCTTTCCTTCTTTACGTACATGTGTTCATATATAATACATACAATTCTTTCTTGTCCCTAATCCAAGACAAATTAGGAAACTTGAAGTTCCATATCTGATACTCTTCTGTTTTGGCATTATTTGTATGGTTTTCTAACATTCCAGCAATGTCTATACTGCTTTCTTTTGCTCTTAGATGAATGCTAAATCTCTTTTGCAGCACCAAACTTGAAGTTTTGGGAATTGTGGTTGCAGTGTCAAAGAATGGTGAATGACAAGAACTGGACTGTTTTCTCTTCCCTCCCAAGTCGCAACTTAGCTGGTCAAACTGCAAATTGAGCATTGGTTTGGATCTCTGAGGTATCTTCTGCTCTCTTGGATTTCATGTATGTATACATCTGTTCAGGTAGAGAAGCATTGATTCCCTCCCATTGTTGGCAGATAGATACCAAAAGGCATGTCCTTTCCTAGAACATATATTCTACAGATGATCAGATGATATGCCCGGTTCAATGTCCACCATAGAGCCATATGCGTGTCATAAAAAAACCAGTGATTTTAAGGTGAAGAAACTGAATTATCAACTAAGGATTTGGAATGTGAATCTTGAAATTGAATAATTGCAGGAGGCTCAACAATAACTGGAAACAAGAAAACAAAGCTGAAGTGTTTGAATGTGCAACATCAATGTTGTCTCCATCCGTTATGCTACAAGTCACAAAGTTGAGATTGGTTCCCAGAGAAGATGGTAACATTCGAAACTGGTTGTTGTCTTGTGTAATTGTATATGCCCTAGCTATTTATCTGCATAATGACTCTCTGTGGGTGTAGGATGTGACTCTTGCAATGGTTATGTTTTACCCTCCATATAGGGTGTTAGAGTTAAACAGTGACTGAAGCAGACAATAGTGTCCATTAGATTTCTTGATTCATGATATCATCTTATCTTCTGCTGGTATTATGCATGCTTACAAATTAACCACCCCAACTGTTGGTCCCCCCTTTCTCTCCCTCATAAACACTTGGATGACAGTGGCCCCCACTCTCTCTGTGTGTTGTAGCTATTAGGTAATGTTGACAATTGTGGTTCCCTGTGCCCTTTCATTTTTGTCCTTTCGATTTAATTCTGCTAAATTTCTTTTTGCATATGACATGAAAATAAATATCAATGGGAGCACTGGTGATCATTTGGTTTATCATGTTTTTACATTTGGCATGCTGATTAAAATATTAGTTCAGTTGTTGAGTCCCAATTAGTTATGCTGGTGCCACTACTAGAAAATTGATTTTTTGCGTCTATTTTTTTGTGATTGTCTGATTAGCCGTGGCAAAAAAAAGAAAGAAAAGGCGACGGTATAATGAAACGCAAGCAGTAGTAAAAGGTTCCTATTTTCTTTCATTTATTTGCGCACTTTTCTTAGTTTTGCCCTAGCAGACTCACTCAACTCTCTCTCTCTCGTTCTTGCTTTCTGCCTCGCTCTTGCTCTCACTCACCTGCCCATCGTTGTCTGAAGAACTCCACCGGTATGAATCTCTCCCTCGATCTCTCAATCTCTCTGTTTCTGTCTCGATCTCTCTTCCTCTCTTGATCTCTCAATCTCTCTTTCGCACAATCTCGCTCTCTCGCTATGTCTGTGTACATCTCTCGCTGCAATTTGCTCGATTCATCGCAGAGAAACCCTAACTCTGCTAGTAGACTGCATTGAAAAGGTCTCTTGGAGTTCTCAAATACAGCAGAGTAAGCTCACCTATCATGCATTTCATCTATCTCAAAATTCACCTACGTTACACACACACACTTAGACTATCTTTGAGCTTCATTGTGTACAAATCAGGTACCTACTCTCTTCAAATTTCCTTTGTTTTTTCTATTTAGTTTGTTTCGATTCGTTTCATATCTGTACTTGATCTGGTTTTGTATCTGAGAATTCCTGTGTTTTTATTTTTTGCACTATAATAATACATTTTTTTATTGATTTGTTTGTTCTCATTTGAGTTTGAAACTGCGTTTGATCTGGTTTTGTAGATCAGAGTTCTTTGGTTTATTGTGATTAATTTAGTTATCTTTAGATTCAGTATTTGCTCGTCACATTGATATGGATCACAATCTTATGATTGCAGTTCTTTGTAATTTTATATAGCGTTAGTCAAATGAAGTTTGAATGATAGGTACTCTTTGAACTACTTGGATTGATCAAATTACAATGACAGCTTATTATTAAATGTCTCTCTCGTTATGCTGCTTGTTTTCTTCACATTCAGATTCCAACTCTGTTAAAAGTTCCTTTGTTTTTCTATTCGGTTTGTTTTGATTTGTTCTCGTTCTATATTGAGTTCTTATCTGTACTTGATCTATAGCTCAGAATTTATTGTTGTTTTTTTATTTTTTATTTTTTTATAGTATAATCATACACTTTTTTTTTTATTTAATTCCAATATTTTGCTTCTCAATTTTTTACAGTATAATCAAATTCTCTCTATTTCCTTGAATCTTTATGTTCTTACACCATTGTTTTTACTTGTTTTGTTTTTTGGCTTTTCAATCTATTAATATTTATCACCTGATTTTGATAGGAAATTGTTGTTGTTGTTGTTGTTTTTTTTTTTTTTTTTCCTAATGTAGCGCTCGGCTTACAAAAGCATATCAAACTGCTGCTGTTCTATTTGAGGTTTTGAAGGCTGTTAATCTGACAGAATCTCTTGAAGTGGCAGATGAGGTGAAACTGACAGTTTGTTGATTGGTGATATTTGAATAATATCAGTCCCTCGATGGAACTTCTTGTATCAGTTTTGTCTAGGCTAAGACTAACCCACTTCTATTTAGAACTTTGTTGTGCTTCTGGTAGTCTTCTTTCATATTGAGTGTTGATGTATCTAGTTTGTTTGTTTGTTTTGTATATATATATATATATAAGTTTGTTTACAAAAAAAAAAATAATTGAACATACATATGCATGTAGATTTTGGAAGCTCACAGTAAGGTTGAGGAAAAGACTGCGATATATGTAACTTATAACATACTTCCTCTTGATCCTGACAGCTCAAATCAAGCAATCATGAAATATCCTGAGGTTAGTTTTTGAATATCTAGAGTAGTGTTCTTGACCTTTTTGAATTATATCTTTAAAGTACCTTTTTTATACCTTGGTTGTTTAATTTACAGATTCAAGTTTCTGTTTCTGCACTTCAAAACACCAGAGGGCTGCCATGGCCCAAGGGCCACAAGAAGAAAGTAGATGAAGACATTCTAGACTGGCTTCAGGCTATGTTTGGATTTCAGGTGACTTTCTTGTTGCTTTCGATCACTTCTTGTTAGAATTTACCATCACCTACCACCACTACCACCTCACCTACTCCACTAAACCCCTCCACTAAACCTAACCCACTACACCACTACCACCTCACCTACTCCACTAAACCTAACCCACTACACCACTATCACCATCCACTACACACCATCCACTACACCTACATCTATATAAGGAACTATTTGTAATAGACAGAATATAAATAGACAAGAACATCAATATTCATCAATAAATAATATCAATAGATACATTTATTCTCTCTGTATTTTTCTCTTTATACATTGATTATTTTACATGGTATCAGAGCTATAAGATTTAGGCCTATACTCATTTCTTTCCGGCGGGCAGCCGTCCGGCAACCTTGCCGTCGCTGCCCGCGGGAGTTTTTTTTCACCACATATCACAAACACTGTACCTTCCAGAGAGAGACTTTCACAGATCTGAGAACGAAGAAGACAAATCTCCGGCGACTCACCCACTGAGCCTAACACCAGCAAAGGAATACCGCTCAGTGATGGTTTGCTCAGCAAATCATGGAGTTCACTTCTTGAGATGTTGATGTTGTCATGATCAGCAGCATCAACAACATAAACAATAGCAGAAACTGCACGACAGTATCTCTCCCACATACTACGAAATCTGGGTTGACCTCCAAGATCCCACAACTTTATTGTAACATTCCCTTTAGTTACTTTCCTCATATTGAATCCCACTGTAGGGATCATGTCTTCACTATATCCACCAGTAACAATGACATTTACAAGTGAAGTTTTTCCAGCATTCTGCAGCCCTATCAAAGAAAGCTCCATTTCCTGCTTAAAGAAGAGGACAACACGACATCGTCTGTATATATGGAAAATTGGAGGAGTGAGAGAGCTAACCCTCGAAGCCAATTGAGAAAAGCTTCCCAGAGACCCATTGATGGTGAGAGAGAGAGAGAGATCTGACCTCGGGACAGCAACAAAAAAAACTGGCCCATATCCTGAGCAAAAAAAAAAAAAAAAAGTGGTGCGCATGGGGGAGGGACGGACTCACAAACCGACACCCTATCCCTCTCTCTCTCTCTCTGGTATATTCCCTCTCTCTCTCTTTATCCCCCCATCATAATTGCATCCACCACCCCACTTTTCTTTATTTTATTTTATTTTTCGTAATCAACACAAAAAAAAAAAAAAAAAAAAAAACCTGCCGACCTCAACAGGCAGTATGGGCGCCTCCCCATATCTCTAGCAACTTTTTATTTATTTTATAATAATAATCATAATTATTATTATTTTCTCTCCCCTCCAGGACATCCCCCACTTTGTCACCTTTCCCACCATTAAGTCTAATGAAAGGAGGAGACAGCACATGGACACACACCGCAGCACATAGTTCAAACCCATTTTCTTTTCTTCTTTTCTTTTCTTTTCTTTATTTATTTCTTTTAATCACCTTTTGCACCCCACTCACTGACTCCCTCACCACAAAAATAGCATCCCTTTATTTATTTATCTTCACTTTCTTGTGTTCCATTTTTCACACAAAAAAAAAAAAAAAAAAAAAAAAAAAATTTTGTTGTCTATATTTTTTTGTGAAAAATGCGATAAATTTAATTAGTTACAGTTATTGAATCGATTTTTTTTTTTTTTTTGTAAAAAAAATATATAAAATATTCAACAAAATAAACCATTTAAATTATCAAAATGAAACTTAGGATAATCCTACAAACTGGAACAACCTGTCCAGTCCAAAACAGTGACAGGAGGGAATCTTCCTTTCGTACGTAGCTTCTTATAGTAATAATTGATGAGGAATTTCCAGTTCAAAGTCCAACAATATTTTATAATTTATGATAGTATACGTTTTTTTTTATTATCGGCTTTTCAGGTAGTATATATGAGAAACTTTGTGTGGCCCTTTTTTTAAGAGATTAAGTTTCCATTCATAATTTTGTTTATTCATATTTTTCCATATCCCTCTTATGGACCTTAATTCAGATATGCACAGATAAACCGTCTATTTTATAGACCCTACAATAATAAATTAGATAGTTCAAATTATCAATGCAAGATTAGATTGGACCCACACAAACATAAAAGAAAAGGTATGAAGAGGAGCTCTCTCCCTATAAATACATGCATCACCTCAGAACCTATTATGCCATCTCAGTATAAATCTGTGTTCGTCTTTTTGAATCTATTTCATAAAAAATGCCTTCTTTTCTTAAACACCTCCACAATCTCTTCACCTTTATCGCTTTGCTTTCATTATTAATAATTTCATCTAATGCTGCTTTCTTATCTACTAAAGCCACATGGTATGGAGATCCTAGCGGTTTTGGGGCCAATGGTGAGGGGAGAGAGAAATTCATTTTTGATGTTTATGATATATAGATAGATGTTATAATATTACATATTGTTTTGTTTAACTTGAGCCTTTACTCACATATGCTTATCTTTTATATATATATATATATATATCTTTATGCATGTGCTCATACCCCAGCTGTGCTTTTTTATTTCCCAAACACTCATCACACGCATGCACATGGCAGACACCACTCACTACACTCCACTTTCTTTTCTTTTATTCCTGTCGGGACTCACCCCGATCCCTTTTACACAAAAAAAAAAAAAAAAAAAAAAACAAAAAAAAAAACAAACCCACAAACAAAAAAACAAACAAACCAACACCACTCGGAACAGTGGGATTTTTCTTCTCTACTCTGCTGCAGGTCTCTTCTTTTTGCCTCCGTCCTGGGCGGTCCTTGACGGTGCTGCCTCTGTGTTTCCCACTCCGCTGGGCACGATCACTACCCCCTGCTCCTCCACTGCAGCATATGGAGGACCTCCAAATCGGAACATCACGGTGGTCTTCCGCTTCAGCTCCTTGTTTTCTGCCCTTAGCACGCTTATCTCTGCTCGCGCATCCTTATACATGCGTTGGAGCAGAGCCAGTTGGGAGTTTAACTGCTGCACCTCATTTGCCCTACTCTGCAGCCGGTTCGACAAGTTTGTGACCGCAGTCGTGGTTTCCACCACCACTACCACCTCACCTACTCCACTAAACCTAACCCACTACACCACTACCACCTCACCTACTCCACTAAACCTAACCCACTACACCACTATCACCATCCACTACACACCATCCACTACACCTACATCTATATAAGGAACTATTTGTAATAGACAGAATATAAATAGACAAGAACATCAATATTCATCAATAAATAATATCAATAGATACATTTATTCTCTCTGTATTTTTCTCTTTATACATTGATTATTTTACACTTCTTTTCATTTGAATCTTGATGGGAATCTGTTTCTCTAACTATTGATCTGCAGAAGGATAATGTGGCAAATCAGAGGGAGCACTTAATATTGTTGCTGGCAAATGTGCATATTCAGTGATTTCAGCCTGATCAGCAGCCCAGGGTATTCTGCTCACAAATAGCGTTGGCTCATAATATTTTATTTTGTTTAAAAACACTTAGTTATTCATAACATATACCTCATTCATGTTCAGTTGGATGACACCGCACTTACAGAAGTTATTAAGAAACTTTTCAAAAACTACAAAAAATGGTGCAACTATTTGGGTCACAAAAGCAGTCTTTGGTGAGTGGAGATTTTTACTTTCTTATTTTTTTTTATCATTTTTATGGCTTAGTGGAATAATTATATTCTGATTAAGAATGACTTCTTCCTCCATTATCCATATATCTCTCATTTTCTTTCTTGCTAATCAAACATTGACTTGTAGGTTATCTTAAAACTTTTTTTAGTTCATCATTGTTGTATGTTGTGGTTAATTTTGGTGATTGGTTTAACAGGTCTGCAATTATAAGTGAATTCTAGTTACTTACAATTCTTATTTTTCCAGAATTGTTATCTGCTCTGCTTGAAATATTTTTCCAACTCCCTGATGATGTACAACCGAATCATATTTTGGTTAAATTTATGCTCATAAATGGTTACTTTCGATTTATGGTCTCATAATGCAGATGACTTTAGTCCAAGTTGTAGCATGTTTCCATCACCTCAACTTATTGTTTAGGTGAATTTGTTTTCAGGTTAGACTTCAGCTACAAATCTAACAATTGGGGCGTCGGCCTTCCACCAAAAGAAAAAAATGAAAAAAACTGGCCCCTGTAAGCATTCAGTTATTTCCTTTTTAACTATGGATTTATATAGGTTACACCCAAACTTCTTTTGGAGTTTAATTTTTCTATGCATACAATTCTATTTCTTGGTTTACCCCTTGCTTTATAAGCATCCAGTTTTATATATAATATCTATAATAAGCTTGAAGGTGTTGTTTCTTCTTCAGAATTAAACCAAGATTAGCAGATCCATCCTTCAAGCCTCAGAGTAGTCACATTCTTGCTGCTGTAGAGAATTTTTTAAATGTGTTACAAATTAGGTACTCTTCACCACTTTTCTGATTGAGGACAGCAAATGCCATCCAGGTTAGAACAGCTATTATTACACTTTCTATTTAATAAGAAACTGTGGCATGACTGGTCAAGGGGGCATAAGGATAAGGAATTGGTTGGAAAGTTTGCAATTATAGATAATTTGGATTATAAACAAGGGGGCATAAGGATCATGGGGTGCTATTCCTTTGTTTAAAAAACGCTGCGAACACCTGTTTCCAACAGCAAGGGAAAGAAGAGGATCTTTTTAATTCTCCTCAATTAGGGGGTAGCTTGTGTGATTAAATGATGATTTTGTTGCTGCTGATGGAGACAGGTAGCAGCATCTATAGTTAGTTCAACTTTGAGAAAATTGTTTATTATGACAACAATGAACTGTTTCTGAATTATGTCCTAGATTAGATGTTGATGGCACCAGAAAATGACTTTTAGGAAGTAAGACAATCATTTTTAGGCATCCTTATAGTCATTCAATTAGTCATGAGTCCGTGCTGATGGAGACATGGGGTAGCATCTGTGCTTAGTTCAAGTTAGACTTCCTCAACAGAGTGCTTAATTGAGGCATGTTGCTTTAAAAGAGAACATCTATGAAGCAGCAACTACATTGTTCTTAGAAAAGGAAATTCTGGGATAATAAAGCTGAAAACCAACTACATTGTTCTATAGATGAAGAGAACAAAACAGTCCATTTGACAGCATTGGAGGGAATAGATTGCTTGGAGTTCTATAAGAGTTGTAACCTCATCTTTCAGATCATTCCCAAAGGAGAGACCAAAGTGGTGAAAACTACAATAGAGTATGAGAAATGAAATAAGGATGTCCCTGATCCACAGAAATATCTGAACTACTTGATTAATCTCTTTAAAGATGTTGATTCTAAGCTTGTCCAAGCTTAATGCAATGGCTATATATGAATAATGGTTATAGTATGACACTATGTAATAAGAGCTGGGAGCTCTAGTGTTGATGCTTCCTAGTTTCATTCTTATGACACTACAAAAAATGAAGGTTTTAGAGACTAAAATTTAGGGACAAAGTGTGGTTTGTTTGGATCTAACATTTAGAGATTAAAGAAAATAACACCACTGTTTTCACATTCTCAAACACGGCTAAGTGTGGTTTGTCTTATACTTGATTTGGTTTTGACTTAGTTTTAATCTTGTAGGGATAGTGCCATGTGCTTGTAGAATTATGTTAAAACCGAGGCAGGTTTTGCACTGCATATCTCGTTGTTAAATTTGCAATAAGAAATATATAGCCTCCTGCTATTTGAAATCTGGATTGTGACATGTTACCTTTTTTCAATCTAAGTGCACTATACCCATAGGAGTGATTAAAATTGATAATTTTTATTTTGGCAGTATATAATTTTTATCATTAATGCCTGAAATTTTTGTTGCATAGGTGCAATGTGGTGATGTGGAATTTGAAAAGAAAATCGATGAGAAGATTGGCCAGTTCACCGATAGAGTGGAGAAACACCCGAGCAAGAAAATTGATGAGAAGATTGGCCAGTTCTAGATTGTATTTTTTTCATAAAAGAACTTTATCCAAGTTTTTAGTTGAATAACTTTCACGTATGGCTCCAATTTTGAGACTCAAATGGAATGTTCAATTAAACTACAATGCGCTCCAATTTTGAGACTCAAATGGAATGTTCAATTAAACTACAATGCTATATTGTTTGAATTCTTGTCATTGCTATTCCTAGAGTGCTTAACGGTACACTTTTTTCTTTTTCTTTTTTTTTCTTTTTTTTTTGGCGACGGTAACAAGATAATCGTCAAAAATCATGTTAGTGTTTTTCTTTGTTTTTTGTGACGGCAAAATAACAGTCGTCATAAGTAGTTTAGGCGGTCGCAAATAATTTGCGACTGTTGCTTTGCCGTCGCAAAAAAGTATTTGCCACCCCCACATTCGCAACCTCCATTTGCCGTCACATGGGCCGTCGCAAAAAGTCTTTTGCGATTGTTTTTTATTATTTGTGACGGTTTATAACTGTCGCAAAAAGTATTTTTTTAATAGTGTGCTGAAGCGTTGTTAGTGAGAAATTGAAGTTGTTTTCATTCAGAATTATGTTTTCGTTCAGAATTACAATATTCTCTGATAACAATGTTTTGGTGTTATCGTCACATTGAACAATTCTGATATCTCACACATTAAATAAAGACCTCCTACGCTCCTACAAATCTGTCCAAACTGACTAGAATACACCCTAATGTTTTGCTCACCCTGTTCCAAACCAGCCTCGTAATGATTAGTGGAGTACTGTGCCCTTCGGTGGGCTCACTTCAGACTTATTTCTGTGATCTAAATTGTTTATTTGGTAAAAATCTAATATTAATAGAGATAACGTGGATCGCATTTGTATTTCTAAAATTTAGACAATAAATATAATTTTGATAATAGACCATTCTTTTTTCAAGATAGTATGACTCCACAATGTGGCTATCAAAATCGGCACCAGACAATAGTAACTGTTGTGTCTTTCCCGAATCATATGCATTTTCAGTAGAATTTTCACCTTTAGGAAAGAAAGAAAGTGTAGATATTCTTTCCCTCTTCCACACTCTACATCCATTGGGCCCCAAAACTGTTGTTGGTAAATCTTGAGGCTGTGTGTAGTTTGCCCATCAACTTCCAAGTAACATTTAAACCCATACACATACGATATGCAGAAGCTATTAAGAATCAAATAAAGGTGAGACAATCATATATAGGTCTAACCAAGTGTTTTTATAGCCAAGAAAACCATAGTGCATGCCATAACAACATGCCTCCATAAGTACATAACCTTACATAACACAAGACTCGTATATTCTCTTCACCTGCTTTAGCTTGCTGCACATAAAAACCAGTGTTATTTCTGTTGCACTCTTGATACTATTATATATAATTATTCTACTTGACAATACTTGTAACAGTTGCTTAACTGTCCTCTGTTCTCCAATATATTGGTATCAGAGGACAGTCTATTCCTTTGCTTTGTGTCAAGGTTGGGAGGGCTTGTCCAAATCTTCGAGGGGGCGGAAGAAGGCCTTCTGCTCCAACACTGAATCCTCACCACCATTCACAGTGGAGTGGAAGCCTGCAGCTCGGTTTTGCTCGGTGGCTGGGCCAAATACCCCTGTTTGTGGGTGCGGAGCCCAGTATTTGTCGGATTGAGGCTTGATTACATCGTCCGGGACCACGGTTGGATGGACCTGTTCGTCCAGGTTCTTATCGTACACTGAACCATGCACAGCCCTCCTGCATAATCATCACCATCTCATAATTGTTAGGACAGTAAAATTTACATCAAATAAAATAGGAATGGCAATGAAAATGGCCGAAGTTTTCATTTGGGATGTTTACATATCAGTCTGGTTCCAGAAATTTAGGAACACAACTGGACCACATAGCTTTTGAAACGGGAAAAAAAATTAAGTACTTGGGAAAAAAAAATCTTATGAATATGAAAGGTTCAATTTTTTTGAACCTTAATTCGGGAATCAAAACGTAATCAATCAATGGATGTTCCCTAATTACATTGTAAACTATTATAAAGCAGAAAAGGACTGATCAAAGATTAGTGGCGGCAAGAAAAGGGGCACAAACACCGTCCTCTAAGAAAATTGAATTAAACAGTCTGATTTAATTTGGATAAATCTAGATCGATTTATCAATTCAACCAAAAAAATTGCCATAACTAGGACTAGGGGTGTGTACGGTGTGATTCGGATGGTTTGAGAGTAAAATTATAAATTGAATAGTAGTTTGACAGATTAACAAATCGTGATTTGGGTGGTTTTAGACGGATTGACGGATTAAAGAATATTCTAACCAATTATCAAGTATTTACATAATATATAATATTAATTTGCATAATATTTTTCATATATATAACACAAATTAATTTTACATAATATGTTTTTATATATATAACTATTAATGTATAACAAATTTTGCAGATTAAATCTCTCTTACATTCATTTTTACTTTGATATTTCATTAGAGATTAAAAAATATATATATATTAACTATAACAGAGCAGAACAGTTTCAAAAGTAAATTATAAATTTTAAAATTTAATGCACAACTAATAGATAGAACGGTACGCATTGATACAAATCAATATAATTTTAACAGAACAATATTTTATATAGTTTTAATGGAGATCATGTTTAGCAAAGACTTATCAGTGTAAAACATAAAATAAAACAATCGTACTCCAGCAATACCCTTGTTCTCTTTTTAGAAAAGATAAAACTACCCACTACGTTCTTGTCCCTTTCTTCCTATTATACCAAAAATGGAAGCCAAAGAGACCAGTGATCTGATAACCAGTGCTGTGCTGAGCTGAGCACAAGACAAGGAATATAAGGTGGCTCCTCCTGAATGTCACACTTGAAGATAGGCCCATGGGGTGTGTGTGTAGGATGATAGTCACGTGATTAGCATATCGTTCACCGACCCAAACGAAATTTATTTAGATAGATCAGATCAGATCAGATCACACCTATTCACAACTAAAATAATCTAGTCAGCATTGACCTCATCATCATAGCAACCTATCTTGAACACGATATAATCAAGTTATGATTTTTTTATAGCAACCCATCTTGAATAGAATATATAATCAAATTTCAATAATAACAGCTCAAAAGCACACAATCTTTTAACCAATTTGGCATAGTCTAGTTGGTATTATGACTTTGGTAAGAGTTTAAACCTCATTTAGAAACATTTATTTTACAAATCTTTTAACTTTTTATATATATAAAAAAAAATAAAGAAAGTGATATAATAATTTATAATGACTTTTTAACTAAAATTAAAAGTTGTCAAGAGATTATAGGTTTAACTTTCTTTAGAAGAGTTGAATGAAGTACTTGTTATTTTTTACGAAAATATGTGTAAAAAATAGAAAGAAAAATAAATCTGACTTTTTACTATAAGTTATATGCTTTTTGATTTTTTTAATAATTTTTTGATTTTTAAGCTAAAACTGTTATTTTTCAAACGAGACTTTAATCATTATTTGTGTGCGGCCCACATAAATAAATGACTGATATTTATTTATAAAATAACATATGAATTGGACTGTTTAATACAATTTATCTAAGTTATTTATAATTGTTTTTTAATTTTATTTTGAGAGATTGTGTCAGAATATTTGATATAGTTTGTACTTACAATTTATTAAACAAATTTATTTGAAATAAGCTGGAAAAAAAAATAAAATAAATTATAACCTAAAGGAGCTATCGATTTTGATTTTTTAATAGAAAATGCTATAAGTCTTAGCCTGCGTTTGGTTATATTTTGTAAATATGATTTGAGAGTATGAGTTATATTTTGAGTTTGTGTATTGTAGAATTATGATTTGAGTATAGAAAATTTGTTTGGTAAAGAGTTTTGAAAATAATTTTGGAAAAAATGTTAGATTTGAGTGAGAAATTGTTGATGTGACATTTGATATGTGATACAAAAATTTACAACTCATAACTAAACATACAATTCAAAATTATTTTAAAACACATAAAAAATTAAAAAAAAATTCAGAAAATATTTTTTCCGATTATATAAATCAATTGCAAAAAAAAAATTCCGATCAACCGGCCGGACGTCCCGCAAAACCAAATTTTGTAAATGTGGAAAGAAACAACGCTTCTGTCATAGCAGGTGTTCTGTGCAAAGTTTTGTAATTAACATTTCAGACCACTAACCAAACACCATTGTGGAATTAAGGTGTAGAATCACCATTTCAGTTCACAACCAAACAGAACCTTAAATTTTCTACTAAATAAATGACCAAATGTCTTACATAGGTACAGGGTCTACAAAATTGCGGACCCCACACCCATGTGATCAAATGTTAGTATCCCTAACATTACCCTTTTTTAATCATTAACTTTTAATATATAATAAATTACACTAAACAACATTAATGCCACAATCAATAACTTTCTCTGGCTTAAAGTTGGGACTCATGATACAAGTGACTTCAAAATGAATAATACTATATGTACTAATTAATGTACATATTAGTGTACTAACAGATGATATGACATTATTTATATAATTTTAAGTAGGAAAATGTTAGAGGTCCCACAAAATTGCGGACCCCACACCCATGTGATCAAATGTTAGTATCCCTAACATTACCCTTTTTTAATCATTAACTTTTAATATATAATAAATTACACTAAACAACATTAATGCCACAATCAATAACTTTCTCTGGCTTAAAGTTGGGACTCATGATACAAGAGACTTCAAAATGAATAATACTATATGTACTAATTAATGTACATATTAGTGTACTAATAGATGATATGACATTATTTATATAATTTTAAGTAGGAAAATGCTAGAGGTCCCAAATTTTCTACCAAACAAATGACCAAATGTCTCACATGGGTGTGGGGTCCGCAATTTGCGGACCCCACACCCATGTGAGATATTTGGTCATTTATTTGGTAAAAAATTTGGTGTCCCTATCATTACCCATTTTTTAGTCTAACAAGACAAAAAATTCACTTATTTAGGACACCCCAAACAACCCCTAAGATCTAATTTAAGAAGACTAAATAAGTATATTTTTTAATTTTTTATGAAATATAGGTTGGGTTTGGGTTGGATTTGAAGTGTCTCTCTCTCTCTCTCTCTCTCTCTCTCTCTCTCTCTCTCAAATGATAAATATAATTCATGTGTAGATCTAAGTTTTCCCACATAAAAGTCGACTGCCCGTTCTTGAAGTTTTATCTAACATATTGCCTAACTAACTGCCCATTCTTGAAGTTTCATCTAAGTTATTGCCTAACTAACCTGCATTAAAGATCCACTTGTCAAAACAAGTGGTGTTAGAAAAGCATGTATGAGCTAAAGACAAATCCACAAATGTATAAATTAACAGCTCAACAATTAAAGTGATTAAATAAGAAATGAACTAAACTAATATTACATTCCTTTGAAAAGCCTAAACAGGTCTAAAAGAAGGGATTTTTTAAACAAATGACAAACAACATTTCACATCAAAATGTCACATAGACCCCCACTGATAAATCAATGCCTACTTTTGTTTGCTTCAGAATGGCAAAAAAAACTACAACCACCCCACAAGGTGGGCCGACAACGCTCTACCTAAATGACCCTTAACTTATCCTATAATTCATGACAAGAAATTAAAATATTATAACATTATTCAATTACTAAAATACCCCTCCATATGACAACACCAATTGCCAATCCTCCAAAGGCCAAAGCAGTAAAGTTGTTCTTATCCCCTCTCTCTCTCTCTCTCTCACACGCGCGCGCGCGCGCGCGCACACACACACACCCGCCCAGTACGGCACGTAAATCTGTTTGGCTCCATTTATTTTTTTATATATATTTCTAAAAACCTGTTATTACTACTCCATTTTATTCTAAATACACTTCTTTTTTTTTTACAATAATGCTAGATGATTTGAAAAATTATAGCTCGAATGGCTCGAAACACCAAAAATGACGTTGTTTTGACACATTCGAACCATTCGAGCTACAAAAATTCGAGCCACCAAACATTTTTTCCTTTTTTATCTTTATTATATAAAAAAATAGAATGTATTTAAAGCAAAGTGAAATAAGAATAATAATTATGTATAATAAAAATAAAAAAGAGAGTATATTTAGAATAAAATGGTATAAAATAACGGCTCTCTATTTTTATTTTAAAAATATGTATCATAATATTTAGCATAGTTTCTATTTATTATATAAACCAAACCAACCCTAGCCTTAAGTCCCATCAATTTATTATATAATTGATAAAAAAATAACTCAAGTGAATTTTTAAAATTAGTTATTGAAAAATTGGAGGAACAAAATTATTTTAGCCCAGCTTCCACGACTTTTAATATGCAAAAACGAACCGACATAACCGTATTTAGTGAAACCGTAATACACAATAACTAGGTTATTTTTATTTTCTAATTATTTAATACAAATAAATCAACATTATCTTCCTCTAAAATTATTAAAATAATGATGCTACACACATCAATTATTATATCTATTAGTGTACTAACACATACTATAACAATGTAATTTCAAAATTATATATCTTGCTATTATACAAATTATAAATACTTAAAATCAATAAAATTTTACTATCATTAATAAATTAATTAATATACCAATTAATACATATGACTGTATTCTTATTAAAAATACCATATGTATTACTGTAAAACAAGCAACAAATCACATATTTTAGCCGGCAGAAGGAGATTTGAGATTTTTTTTAATAAAAAAATTAATAAAATAACAAAAATAAAAAATCCTCGCAATTATTGTTGTTTGTTTTATTGCAAAATATCGTCCTGGGAAAGGGCCTACCTCCCATCTCCTCCACTCCGTGTCTCATTCTCACCATCCTTTCGAAAATTTATAATTCTTTTATATATTATTCTTTACAAAAATTAGATACACTACGGATAATTTTTTTGAATAATATACCAATAATCCCTCAAAATTAAAATTTTGGATCATTATAACGGGACTAATGGTCTAATACTCCATGAACTGAGACAGCACCCTCCAGCCGGGAGCCCAGTCGTTGGGAGAAAACATACATTTCGGGGCCTTAGAAAAACCAGCAACAGTAAACACCATTAAAAATTTTTAGAAATGAATATCTGAGAGAAAATTATTTCAACAGAGTGCTAAAAAAATGCACAAATTAAAATCTCAAACAACAACATTCTAATTCCAACCATCTGAACTCAATTGCAACTCAACCATCTCCGAACCGTCCCCTCAGTATCAAGCAATGTATTGTGTATATATGTGTATACCTGAGAGAGTGTGAAGGAGACTGAAATGGATCGCGAGAGCTTCCGGCACGGATCTGGTTAACGAAACGCTTCCCGATGCCCACGAGTCCCCTACTCTGCGAATTGGCGGCCATACAATATAGCTCCGATTTAGAGAGAGAGAGAGTCAGAGAGAACGAGTGGATTGAACCAAAAAGAGGAGAGAGAATGTGGTGGGTTGAATTGCTGCTTTAATCCTAACACACTTCATATATACAAAAGGAGACAGAGGAGAGAGATTATTTGGTGCGGTTGGAACATTATTTCATATCATTAGAAAATGTTATCCGTCTTAAATTTTTTATCAAATAAATGATCAAATGTGTCATATGAGTATGAGGTCCACAAAATTACAGATCACACACTCAGCTAAGACATTCGGTTATTTATTTAGTAAAAAATTTAATATTCCTATCATTATCCCATAGACTGATGTTAAGAATCTATCAAAATTTTTACCAAATCTTTTTTGTAGGATCTACACATATGTAAATTTGTACAAGTCTCACACTTATGTGAAAAATTTGATAAAATTTTTTATAAATTATTTGAGACCCATTACATTTTCCTATCCCATCTCATTCTCTTTGTGATATTGATCCCATTCTTTTTAAAAGTCAACATAAAAACATGAATCATATCCTTTTAATCAATAAAAATTAAAAGATTAGGTTTCACCTATTTATATTTGAAATATCTACACTTTGTGATGTTGATCCCATTCTTTCTAAAAGTCAACATAAAAATATGAATCATATCCTTTTAATCAATAAAAATTAAAAGATTAGGTTTCTCGTATTTACATTTGAAATATTTATACTTTATCTTCGTTTGGAAAGTGGGTTAATTTTTTAATTTTTTTGACTATTTTAGCCTGGACGAAAAAATTTGGTTTGGGAATGACTTTTTGACTTTTTAATTTTTTTGACTTTTTTGTGAGATAATAGTGTAATGATTATGGGTTGAATGTGATGTTTTGTTTGTTGTGACTAAAATAACCTATTTTGTCTTTTGTGACTATTTTAACTACAAACCAACTTGTTAAACACCTTGTTTGTGATGTTGATCCCATTCTTTTTAAAAGTCAACATAAAAATATGAATCATATCCTTTTAATCAATAAAAATTAAAAGATTAGGTTTCTTGTATTTACATTTGAAATATCTACACTGTGCCTCCGTTTGGGAAGTGGGTTGACTTTTTGACTTTTTGACTTTTTTGGCTATTTTAGCCTGAACTAAAAAGTTTGGTTTGGGAAGAGTTTTTTGACTTTTTGGCTTTTTTGATTTTTTTGTGAGAGAAGAGTGTAATGATTATGGGTTGAATGTGATGTTTTGTTTGTTGTGACTAAAATAGTCTATTTTGTCTTTTGTAGTTATTTTAGTTACAAACCAACTTGCCAAACACCTTGTTTGTGATGTTGATCCCATTCTTTTTAAAAGTCAACGTAAAAATATGAATCATATCCTTTTAATCAATAAAAATTAAAAGATTAGGTTTCTCGTATTTACATTTGAAATATCTACAGGGCTATCATGAGTCTCATATTTATGATCCAAATTATATATTTTGTAAGACTCTCTCAATATATATCATTCATAATAATAATTAATTGGATATAATAATTGTAATATTTTTATTTTATCACATTTTTTTGTGAAAAAATATATTATAAATATATTTTTAAAATAGACTATCTATTTTTTTTTTATAAACAAATATGATAAAATGAAAATGTTGTGATTATCGGATCGATTTAATATTTTTATAAATCATATACATAAAAGATTTTACAAAATAAAATGTTCAAATAATTGAAATAGAGCCCGTGGTGTATCTTAGGGGTGAATAACGGATATATCGATCCCCCCAAACCGATCGAACCGAATTGTTCCACCTCATTTTAGACGGATGCGTGACGACGAGCGAACGGTTGTGGATTGATTTTTTTCCAATCGCCTAGTTTTGGACAGATGATGGATTTGAGGTTCCTTTGACGACAACCGAACCGTCAAATCGCGAGCATCCCTAGTAATTTGTAAAACTTTGTGTTTTCAAAGTATTTAGATATTCTGTTTATGTTTTCAATTGAAAAATAGTTCAAATATTCTGTTGAATATATTCTATTGAAAAAGAGTTTTCAACTTGAATATATTTTTTGAATTGAAAAAAATAAATGCATTATTTATTTATATTTTATGATTTTTAAATCTAACTCTAAAAATAATATAGATAATTGTGGTGGTTTGAATTGTTTCTATATTTTAAGAACCACATATTGTAATATTTTATGTAATATTTTTTGTGAATGAGGCATGCAGTGATTGTAATATTCTAAATTTTCAAACTTTTTTTTTTTGGATGAAACATGTAGTGATTGCAATACTTTTTTAAGTCATTGACTATAATACTCTTTTTATTTTTTTAGGAAGTGCACAATTGAATTATGTTGAAAATTTATAAAATTTTAAACCGCCAAACCAATTCGTATAATTTTCCAATCCGCTCAATATACATCCGCCAAATTGATTTTCTCTAATCAACCAATCTGACAGACGGATGACGGATTGAAAATTCTGTGATCGTAACCAACCCGCGGCCAACCCTAGTGTATCTCATGTATCTCTCAAATTTTTTGATGTTGAGATATAAATATGAGAAAAATTAATCCCAAAAATAAAATGGGTACTACATGGATTTGCCTCAAAATATAGAATAATTTTCAGGAGACGTGGTGGGTGTGTGTTTGAGTCACGCCTGACCAACGGTCTCTGTTTCTTTGGTTACACCTACCCCCTACCAGGGAGAGCACCAATTTTGACACGGTCGCCGTTAACTAACGGAATCTTACTGCCCTAGTGAAAATTATTTGACGTTTAACATTGGCGCCGTCAGTTTGTCTTCTGCGAATCTATAGGGGAATATTCTGGAGCGCACATGCGGAAGTCGACAAAAATGAGTGGGCCACGAGGCGTCAGGATCTAGAGTTTAAACCGTGTTCTCTTTAAGTTATCCAGCCACGGTTAAAATTAAATCTCATTGAAATGATGTTATTTTGGTGAGTAATTTAAAAAGAAAAAAATTCAGATCTATATCTACGATTTTAGGATTGTGAAGCAGAGTACTAGAGAAACAGAAAGAAAAAAATATTTCTTTGCCAAAAATCATCGTCGTTCTCTCTCTCTCTTTTCCGATTGAACCATCCAATTTCGTACCGGGACCGACTAATTCTATAGATACATATTATATTCTGATATATATACAAAAATATTTACTTTGTTGTTGGGCTATGGAGAATTGTATGAGTAGTAAAGAAGATATCTATACTATATATTAAGTAAAAGGGAGTTTTTAACTTCAAGCCTTGTGGGAGCTCCAATCTCTCAATCTAAATTTCTTGATTTTTTGATTTTAAAAAAAAAAAAACCTTAGCATTTATTAACTTCTCCTAACCCCCAAAATCTTACCATCATAATAACACTTTAATGCATTAAGAACAAACATAAAAAAAAAAAAAAAATTTTTGAAATCCACCATATATGATTATTATCAAAATATTAAATTTTAATATAATATAATAAAAAAAACATTTA